GCTCCATCATCTGCCCAGGCCCAGAGGCAAGGTTGACAAGCCAGTAGTTCCCAGGGTCCTCCTTGCTCCCTTTTCTAAAAATGGGAGCAATGTTCATCTTTTTCCAGTCACCAGGGAGCTCTCCTGGCTGCCAGGACTTTTCAAATATCACGGGGAGTGGCTTTGGAACAAAAACAGCCCGCTCCCTCCCGGGACTTTTCAAATATCACGGGGAGTGGCTTGGCAACAACATCAGCCAGTTCCCTCCGGACTCTGGGATGCATCTCGTCAGGTCCCAGGGACTTGTGTATGTTCAGGTTCCTCAGGTGCTCTTGAACCTGATCTTGTTTACAGTGGGAAGGACTTTGCTCCTCCAGTCCCTGTCTTGCAGGCCATCCCCTCGAGAGGTGTGGGAAGAGAGATTGCCTGTACTACTTGCATTCCTTTTGTTCACTGTATTTTATTTTATTATATTTTAGCCAGATGAATCCCCCAATGCTTCAGGAATTATACACAATGAAAATCATTGAAATATACCTACCTGTCTTAAGATAGATAGTAAAAACAAACAAAAAAACCCACAGCAAAGTTTTAGCCAAGAACTGTAGGGCAAACCAGTATTTTTTAATATATTTTTTTAATGAAAGTTTAATCTCCCTGCATAGCAAAATGGACATCTTCTTAAGTTCTCAAATACTCCTCCTTCCCCTCTGCTCTTAGTTTGCCCTGTTTCAGTGAATTCTACAGTTTATCCAGTCCTAATTCCTTTATCTAAACAATGGAAATGTGAGACATAAACTGTTGAATGATTTATCCAGTTCAAAAGTACTTCTCGTTCTCTCTCGATATAGTTGTTTTGGTTCTTACGGTGATACTCAAAGTGTTTACATATTGACATACACCATAACTGTGGACCTTAAAGTTTTAATGGGAGGGGATATTATTTTCTTGAATGAATCATCTTTGTAGAAATTATGGTTTTCCAGAATGAGCATGTGAACTTTTGTGGATATTCTGGCCATAAAACATAAGCAGGACTTTTGTTTATTTGTGATTGCAATATCTGATGAAAATAATTGTAAGAAGTTGGAATGTTGGATTTTCTACCTCCTTCTCCTTTTCCTGACACTGTCCCATCACATTTTACATTTTTTAAGACTTTTAGTGCAAGCTGATACATCACTATTAGAGTAGAAGAGAAATGGTTAAGAAAGACTGAGAGAGGAAAGACGACAGAAATATGTTTTGCTTTTTCAGAAAAGATACCTCTTCTGCATCTCATATGTTTGAAGAAACTGGCTTTTGCAATCAGCTGTTGCTTGTTGTGCTTTAAATTGGTTAGATGTTATGCTGTCTGATTGCATCTGTCTGTTCAGCTGTATGGAGTCCCAGTCATCATGTTGGGTGGCTCTTGAGTTTTAAACTTCCGAATATGTTGACATCGTTTCACAGTCAAAGCTGTTAATGATTTTTATTGAAAGAGGTAAAATATTGAACGTTATGTTTGAGGAGTATTTGATTTCACAACAGGAATTTTGGTCTTCCTTTTCATAGGAAAACAAGCGGTGTTCCCCAGGGATCAGTTTTGGGGCCAGTCTTGTTCAATGTCTTTATCGGTGATCTGGACAAGGGGACTGAGTGCACCCTTAGTAAGTTTGCAGGTGACACCAAGCTGGGTGGGAGTTTCAGACTCCTTGAGGGCAGGAGGGCTCTGCAGAGGGATCTGGACAGGCTGGGTCGATGGGCCGAGGCCAAGTGTGTGAGGTTCAACAAGGCCAAGTGCTGGGTCCTGCACTTGGGTCACAACAACCCCATGCAACGCTACAGGCTTGGGGAGGAGTGGCTGGAGAGCTGCCTGGTAGAAAAGGACCTGGGGGTGCTGGTCAACAGCCGGCTGAACATGAGCCGGCAGTGTGCCCAGGTGGCCAAGGCCAACAGTGTCCTGGCCTGTGTCAGCAATGGTGTGGCCAGCAGCAGCAGGGCAGGGATCGTGCCCCTGTACTCGGCACTGGTGAGGCCGCACCTTGAATCCTGTGTTCAGTGTTGGGCCCCTCACTCCAAGAAGGATGTTGAGGTGCTGGAGCATGTCCAGAGAAGGGCCACGGAGCTGGGGAGGGGTCTGGATCACAAATCTGATGAGGAGTGGCTGAGGGAACTGGGGGTGTTCAGTCTGGAGAAGAGGAGGCTGAGGGGAGCCCTCATCGCTCTCTGCAACCACCTGCAAAGGGGTTGTGGTGAGGTGGGTGTTGGTCTCTTCTCCCAGCTAACTAATGATAGGACGAGAGGAAATTGCCTCAAGTTGCGCCAGGGGAGGTCTAGACTGGATATTGGGAAAAATTTCTTTACTGAGAGAGTGGTCAAGCATTGGCACAGGCTGCCCAGGGAGGTGGTGGAGGGACCATCTCTGGAAGTGTTCAAAAAACATGTAGACGTGGCACTTTGGGACATGGTTTAGTGGGCATGGGGGTATTGGGTTGGTGGTTGGACTTGATCCTAGAGGTCTTTTCCAACCTTAATGGTTCTATGATTCTATTCTACGATAGTTGTCTGTGCGTTTAATGAAGGGGTCTTTTGCAAAAATAAGCTTTAAAGGCTATAAACATTGTACTCTCTTGATACAAACAGAGGAGTTTTTCCATTAAAGCATGGAGAGTCTTGCAAAAAGAAAGCTGCCAACAGTTTGTCTCTTTCAAAGACTTTGCACTGGCAAACTGATTCAGACATACATGCATCTTAAGGATCATACTATAGCTATGTTACCTATGTTGAAGTTGTTATTTCTCTAGGTGGTAAGCAGGGTTTAAGTCTGCATGTGCCTTCAAGCTGGTTTCCTTTTGCAAAGTGAGAAGTGATTTAATTAAAAAAAAAGAAAAGAAAAAAGACATTGCAAACTAGAATGTGAACCAAAAATTAAGTAATTTTTGTTTAACTATGATGATAAGAATGGTCTAAATTAGTTGGTCTGTGATTTGAAACAGTTGATCTATATTTCTTGTCCATTTTTAGGCCTAGAAGAAATTGCAAAAGAAAAAGAGAAGTTAAAAAAGGTAGAAAGCATGCATATCAAAGAAGAAGAATTTGAGACGGAAGAAAAATTACACTGTTTAAATACAACTCACTGTGAGCAAAAGGAAGACCTGAAGGAAAAGGACAACACTAATTTGTTTTTACAAAAGCCTGGGTCATTTTCAAAACTAAGCAAACTGTTAGAGGTAGCAAAAATGCCACCTGAATCTGACATTACGTCCCCAAAACCTAATGGCAGTGCAGCAAATGGCTGTACGTTACCTTATCCAAGTAACTCAAAAAATTCTCTCTGCGGTCTTCAGCCTGCTGTATCACAAAGCACCATTGAAAAGTCCGATTCTAATAATCTCTTCAGTCCTAATGCAAGTGGGACAGGAAAGTTTTACAATTCTCCACTAATTCCAAACGATCAGTTGTTAAAGACTCTTACTGAAAAGAGCAGACAGTGGTTCAGCCTTTTACCAAGAATACCCTGTGATGACATGTCAGTTACCCATATAAACACACCAGCTACTACGGCTTCACTTACTCCTCAGTCACATCCACCATCAAAGTCACCTTCACCTATTCCATCACCTCTTCTGGGCTCAACCTCTGCACAGAGTCCAATGGGATTAAGTCCTTTTGCATTGTCACCGCTGCAGGTAAATAAATGCATTTTTGAGTAGTCTGAATTTGCTGTGCTTATTTGGGCATAATTTCTTAAGACAGATTTTCACAGAAGTGCTACCATTATAATTGTCGTTTCTTTTTTTTTTTTCCCCCAATGTTAATAACTAATTCCATGTTACACATGTTTTATAATACTAGAAGTTTTTTGATAAAAAAGATTAAGATAGGTAAAATCAAGTAAGCCAATGTATGATTTTTTGTATGTGTATTTCAGTAATTTATTTTGGCTTTGAGAGTCTTGGCCGCTGGTATTAAATGAAAAGCAAATAAATAAATAGTTTTCAGAAATATGACTCACCACACCCTCCCTTTAAAACCTGTTATTTCTTTAAGCATTGACAGGGCCCTAGTAAGGAGTATTACATGTTAGTGTTACATTAGTTTTTCTTAAACTTATCAAAGTACTGAGTAAAGGCCTCCTTTATGTTTGAATATTGTTTGACAAATAGCATCCTAACCATAATTCAGGTTTCTCGGTAACAATTAATAATGGTAGTGTGATTGTGTTAACAATATATTTTGTGTAGCAGATGAAGACTGGACTACCTATAATGGGACTACAGTTTTGTGGATGGCCTACAGGAGTTCTTACTTCAAATGTTCCGTTTTCATCTCCTTTACCTGCTCTTGGATCAGGGTTGGGATTATCAGAAGTGAATGGTAACTCATTCTTGGCATCTAGTGTTCCTGCCACTAAAAGTGAATCACCAGCACTACAGACTGAAAAAATAGCTTCTGCCCCTTCTACAGCAGTTGAAGTAGCCAAGCCAGTAGATTATCCTAACCCAAAACCGATACCAGAAGGTAAGTATAATACACCAATAAGATGGAACTATGTGAGGGATAATTTCTACAGTGCCACTATGATGTTACAATTAATTTCTTTTTCATAATTTGTCTGTTGAATTTGGCTAGATGATTTCTCTCATCTGATTGTGTGTGATCACATAAAAAATGCCTGCAAAGTGTTTTATATGCTTGTCTTGATTTAGAAATGCAGTATGGGTGGTGGAGGATTACTGATCCGGAGGACCTAAAATCTTTGCTTAAAGTGCTGCATCTCAGGGGAATAAGAGAAAAGGCCTTACAAAAGCAAATACAGAAACACATGGATTATATCACTCTGGCCTGCCTCAAAAATAAGGATGGTATGTAATTGTTATTTATGTTACGCATGGTGTTGGGGCATAAGACGACTGGCTGAGAGCTCTTTGAGATGTGCTTAGATACAGAGTTAGAGTAGCGGCTGGAGAAAAACAGTAAAGATATTATTGTCTGTAGTTGCCTGTTCACCATCCTTGTTTTGGAAGCTTACAGGATTGGAGAAATCCTATTTAATATAAATTGCCCTAGTGGCGCAAGTGTTGGTAACCTTTTTAAGCTCTTTCCATCTCTGTGACGCTCTAGCTCTCCTTCCCCGTCTTGCCTTTAACTTGCAAGTTTGAAAACCTACAGAAGTTGTTGTCCATACTGGGTATCTTAAGAGTAGCACCCTTTTACAACAGTTCTTCAATATATGACTGGAGTGACAGGTAAATCAGCTTGACTTTACTCAGAGAAGTTATAATACTCATTAAAATAATGAAAATGTGATTCTCAAATACAGTTGCAATTATTGATATCAATGAAAATGAAGATAACCAGGTAACTCAAGACGTTGTGGAAAACTGGTCAGTAGAAGAACAAGCAATGGAGGTGGATCTTGCTATTCTTCAGCAGGTGGAAGATCTAGAGAGGAGAGTTGCATCAGCTAGTTTACAAGTTAAGGTAAAACTAACTTTTAGTAAAATGTCTCTTTAAGTAAGAATTTAAAGTAGATAGTAGCACTCCTTTTGTTGTTGGTAAGTGTCGCCTTATAGATCTCTAATTGTCTGCAAATAAAACAAACCCACTGCAGCAGTGTCATGGATGTTTGTGTTTGAAATACTTTATTGCAGTTAAATCTTCAGCTGAAGACGCTCAGAATGGCAGTTCCTGGAGAGTGCTGTACAGTGTGCAGTTCCCTGCACATTTTGTTAACCTTCTATGAATGCAAAGGTTTTATTGCATATAGACTGCCTAATTATAGTGGGTTTTTGCCACGGTTCTGCCTGGCTAGGGTGACTGTTGCTGTTAATGCTTTCTGAAAAGCCTGCAAGTACATACTTTGCTTGAGTATTGTAGAGTCGTGGAGAACGCGTGATGGTTGTGAGTGTGAAAGATTTAAGAATTCACTGGCTGTCATTACAATTTGCAGTTTTTCCAAGGTGGGTGTAAGGATATCAAATTGCATATGTTTGGCTATAGTACAGCTGTAGTGTCTGGGATCTAGTTTGTTCTGGGGGTGAATGTTATTTCTGTGTGACCAACTGATACTGTCTCGTGAGCCGTTGGACAGACAGACCTATTCTGATGTTTTGACCAGTAGAACAGGAAACTTCAAAAGGAGATAAGAATGAAGACTGTTGCAGAAAGGTCCCTTCAAAAAGTCTGGTAATGCTTGTGTTTTTTGATTAATTATTTTAGTTCTCTGGATGTTTTGGAAACTGTCTCTACAGATGGATTACAAGTAACCAAGATCTACTGGAAACAGCACTTCGGTTACTTAGTTTGATTCCATAAAACAGTTCCTCTGTTTACACACTAAGTTAACAGCAACCAATAAATGCACAAACCTTTCTATTAACATAGGGTTGGCTGTGTCCTGAACCTGCGTCAGAGAGAGACGACTTGGTATATCGTGAACATAAGTCAATTACTAGATTGCACAAGAAGCACGATGGAGATTGTGCTGGAGGCGGAGAAGGCAATACCAGCTCTCTAGAGCGGAAGAGTGACAACCCTCTAGATATAGCTGTAACCAGGCTTGCTGACTTGGAGCGGAACATAGAGCGAAGGTATCTGAAGAGCCCCTTAAGTACCACCATTCAGATCAAACTGGATAATGTGGGCACAGTTACTGTCCCTGCTCCTGCACCATCCATTAGTGGTGATGGTGACGGGTAGGTTATTGAGATTAACTTGAAAAATTATTGTGCTTCTTTGCTAATTGGAGCCTATTTTCTTATTGCCTGTTATCTATGTACTTTCTTGTATGTCTGTGATCCACATGGATCATGTTATTCTGCATGATGCTTTGTAAAGATATTTTTTGTTATGTTTGTTGATAATCTTGCAAAGTTATCTTATATTTAACTGGTTGTGACTAAGCTTTGAGGCACGTAGCCACAGTCTGTGCACTACATGAAATTTAGTTGCTTAAACCTTATACTTATTGGCTGTGTATGTTTTGTCGTTGCTTGGCTTTCAATGTGAATAATGATTGTTCCACGTTTAAACTTATGCAAACACGGATGTGACCTACTTAATTTCTCTGTATTTCATTGCAGAACTGAAGAGGATATTGCTCCAGGGCTAAGGGTATGGAGAAGGGCATTGTCAGAAGCGCGCAGTGCTGCGCAGGTATCTCTGTGCCTTCAGCAGTTACAGAAATCAATAGCGTGGGAAAAATCTATTATGAAAGTTGTAAGTGTTTTTAATTTTAAAACAAAAGTACTGTAACTAAACTATTTTTGCTATATCCTGTTTTCTCACTTTAGTCATTTTAAGGTACCATCATTAATAGTGCATTTCTTATTACTGCGTGTAAAACTTAATATAGTTAAACTGCACATTGTGCACAGATAAATATAAGCCTAATGAAAAGATTGTCCCTTTCTTGCCAAATGCATCATCCTCAACTTTCTAAGATAAAAAGCTCCTGTAACTGGTTGCTTTATTTAAGATGGTAATTACTCTTTGTTGTTAACATTTAGGTTAGAAAAAAGTAATTTCTGGCTCCATCTGATGGATACTCTATCTGATGCAATATTTCTGATCTCATCTGTGATACAAGCTTTATGGAGGTTCAACACCACATACCCCAATTAAGGACTTAGTTTTTCAGAAAGTTGAGATGCTCCAAATGTGTGGCTTCTTTGCATGCACACTTCTCACAACTGAAAATACAAATTGGGCAAGTGCGTGAGCAAACAGGCTGAAATACCTGTTTCCTTGTACGCTTAACAAGTAGAGCTGTGTTAACTGCACATACAAAGAAGGCACACAAAATGCACGTGCCAAAATTTGCATGGACCTTTGAAACTTAAATTTCTGAAAACAAAACCATTACTACAGCAGTAGTGCTTATGATGTGATTAAGTATGGCCAGTGCTATACAGTGGGTGGCAAAAGTGATTCTTCCATTAGTCGTCTTTTCCCTAATTTTTTTAAGTTCTGCCAGTCTATACAGATTATCATTACATCTGGGCAATTAAAGCATGATTTAAATAAAAGCTATAGTGTAAGGCTGTACCTTTGGGTTTATATTTCTGTAAGTTTAAGGCTGTATCTTCAAAGCAAAAAGTTTATGAATTTAGTAGGAGCACCTGAAAAGGCATTTGACTGTTTCAAGGTGTAGTAACTTCTCATCCAGAAAGAATTTATAGTATCATTCTCAATTTGATTGAAACGTTCTATGCATTTAACTATACAGTAAATGTATGTATGTGGTGAAAACATGTGGAGATCTTTAAGTTCCTGAAAAAGAAGTCCAGATATAGAAGAGTATCAAAATCACACAACGTGTGTAAGAAAACTGACAATGCATTAGCTATTTTTAAGTTAATGTGAATTCTAGGAGGTGCTAAGACAATTTGTTTTGCCTTACTGAATATGTTCATGGTGGCCTTTGGATAAGATCCTTACTGATTATTATCTGTAATACTGAAAATACGGTCGTAAAATATAAATTATTTTTATGAAATAGCAACTTAGATACACAGCATGGGCATTAATGAAGAGAAAATTCCTGAGACAGTATGTGTGGACCAAGTGATTTTGATGGGTATAAGATACCTTTACTTCTTGTGGACGTTAATGAAATACAAAAAGTATTTATAGTTTTGTGTGCTGTAGGACACCTATCTTACCATGAATTGCTTTTGAAACGTGTTCCCAAGCGTAGGCTTTAGGTATTCCTCACATACTGCATATATTCTTTTACAAATGTGATCATTGGTAGACTCTGATTGTGGTAAAATGAAAGGAGAATTATTTTGAGAAGGAATTTGTGTGTTTGGAGGAAAAAAGTAATTTAGGTACCGTTCCTGTGTTTCAAAATTCTAAAAATTGAATTAAAGCCATTTTTATGTATTACAGTACTGCCAAATTTGTCGAAAGGGAGATAATGAGGAACTGCTGCTCCTTTGTGATGGCTGCGATAAAGGCTGTCATACCTACTGCCACAGACCCAAGATCACTACCATACCAGACGGTGATTGGTTTTGTCCTGCCTGCATAGCAAAGGTAATACTAACCGTAAAGGTGAAGTGACTTACGGTCACCTTTCGGTGGTGGTAGAGTTACAGGCCTAGTAGTGCTTTTTTCAATGAAAATAATGGTCTGTATGTTTTATGTTGGGCTGCCATTAAATAATGAGATTAATAGTTTTATTTAACTTGGATTTTAGTGGCAGTAAAGGCTACATTTTTATTTCTTTCAAACTTTTTTAATGTAAGTAGGTACAGAATTTTCTTGCTGATTTAAAACCATAGTTTTTTATTTCTCTTTTAGCATTTCTTCAGTATTTGTCTTTTAAGCTTCGTTGTTAAGTGTTGACAGACCAATGTCTTAGATTCTGTTTGAAAAGAAAAATTGGAGAAAGTACTTAGTAAATAATTTTTGTAATTTGTGTACAGCATACTTTAGTTTTAGGTTTTTGATACATAGTACAGTTGAGAGAGAGGCTATGTATGTTTACTGCATGAGGTGTGGGGTGTTCTCTTTTTTTTTTTCCTTTTCCTTCTGTCCCAAATTTGGCTGAAAGCTGGAAATTCAAAGGTGCCAGAAATTTAAGGTGAAATTCCAGCAGAACTTTAAAACATGTTGAATATTGATTAAAAATTCTGTAAAACATAGAAACAGTTTTGTTGAAGACTAGGTATAACCATGCCATCCTAATTTAACTCAACTTCAATTTTTTTTTTCTCGTCTAAAGCAAGAAAAACATCAACATCTGCCATTCCCAGCTACTTGGAATTAGTATTCACAGAACATCTCAAAGTCAGTCCTTAGGTGATGACAGCTGATCTGTTCTCATTGCCTCACATTGTGTTTTTAATCAAATGGCTGAAAAATCAACATTCCTCTTCAGTTGCCCTTTGAACTGACGTACTTGACTGTTTTTCTATCCTTGGACCAAGAACATAGTCATGATAGAGAGCAGTGTTAAGACAGTACAATTAATTACAAATCTTTCTAGGGTTCTCTGTTAAGCAAAAGGAATTCTATACACAATGTACATGTTTCCACATTCATGCGTTCATTCATCATCTGATTTGGACAAACTGACTGCATTTTTCACCATGCTAGTTACAATCAGTGCCAAATACTCAAGAAAGTTATTTATGACATGAAATAAGGGAGTTGTGTAGTAATGGTTTCTAGTAGGTAATGAAATTGGCATATTCTTAACTCTGTAGAAGTACACTATAAAAATACAGGTTTAGACAACTTTAAAACCAAATAGTATTTTGATAGAATATAAAAAATAAATGTTACAGTTTAAAAATTGTTCAAACTATCAAAAGTAGTCTTAGTAACACAGGCAGAGTTTAGTACTTTTGATGCTGGCTCTCTTTCTTCATGGAAGTTGTTCTCTGTCTTTCATTCTTTGACTGTCAGTGAGTCTTTTCAATGGCATCGTGTACTTGACTTAACATTCTGCAATGATCAGAATGATGATTTCAAATATTGTGCCGCAATATGATGCTGTCAATACCCATAATAACTTACTATTTTATCTTAAATGTACCCCTTAGTTTCCTTTTACTGTCTATAAATAGTTCTGTACTAAATAGCATTCCTTTGTTTGTAGCATTCCTGTATTGTCATGCTCCTTTTATGTTCTCCTGTAGTTGTCTTGTAGCCAAGCTATTTATACCTTTCATATCTAGCTTTTAATCTTTAAATCAGTTGATCCTGTCCCTGACTTTTTAAAAACTCCTTTCCAGTTTCCCATGTCTTGCAAATAATAAGGTTCCTTGCAAAGAGTATGCTATTCCAGCTGGTTTTATATCAGTCTTTTAGGAATAGACAAATACTTGTCTAAAACTATGCCAGCCTGCTTTCTTAGGAGGTGCTGTTTCAGCCGACTGAAGGTCAGGTGCTTTTATTTTGTCACAAGTTGAGAACCTAAATCGCTAGCAACAGGAATTTCTACAGCCTTACTTGCCATTAGAGAAGAGCAAAAAGTGAATAATCTCTGATGTTAAGTATTTCAATTGTTTTGGTGCTTCTGTTCGATCTTCATTGCTGTCTATCAATAACAACAGAGGTTTTTGTAATTTCTTGGTTATTGCTTATTTCGGTTCTCTCTATTTTAGGCAAGTGGTCAAACTCTAAAAATAAAAAAACTTCAAATCAAAGGGAAAAAAAGTAATGAACAAAAGAGAAGCCGGAAATTAGCAGGAGATACAGAGGATGAAGACTCTGCAACTACAAGCACCTCCTTAAAAAGAGGAAAAACAGACCCTAGAAAAAGAAAAATGGATGAAAATGTTTCTGTAAGCCAATTAAAGCAAGAAAATTTCACTGCTCTTAAGAAACCTAAAAGAGATGACTCCAAGGACCTGGCTATATGCAGGTAAAGTGACAAATTTTAAACTTGGGTAAGTATTGTTAAAACAAGCAGTGCGCGATTCTTTTTATCTGTGTTCTGAGGAATAAGAACCCTATTCTTTGTCCTGTATCCCATATAGGTTGTGGTAATTTGCATGTATATATAAAGGATTTAATGTGTGCGTGCTTGGGAGCAACTGCTGTATTTCGCAATGAAGCCCAAGAGGAAAGTACCTAATGTTAGAATGTGGTCTGTGAAATCTTCCACTACATGCCCTTCCAAGAATGGGAAAAACCCTGAGTGTAGTGGTGCTGACAGCTTTCTCACGTGTAGCAAAGATGTTTATCCACTATGTCAAAAAGGCCTTGCATTACAGAGGAGGAGACAGTAATAGGAATGCATCTTCTTTTGTAGCATTGCTGGTCAGTGAAAAGTGACATAGTTTAGCCTCGTCAGCGTTTTGGAAAGCCAGTATTAGCACCTGTTTTACTGGCTTGCAAATGGTTTACATTGAGGTTCAAAGTATTGAAGTTGCAGGGCTGTGTTTTTCTTTTAGAACATTGATTGCTAGAATTCCACTGTACATAGGTTGCCTGGAAAGAACTTAATGGTATTTTAAATACTCGGTTAAGATGTCTGTCTTTATTGACATTGTTCTCAGCCTTGCACAGGGCATAGAATAAAGTGCTTTGCTTTTATGAAGTGAATAGGTAGCAGTACATGATGAATTTATGGAACAGTGAAAAACCTCTGTGAATATATGAACATCTTAAAAAATACTGATTTGAAACCTTATTTTATTCAGCATGATTCTCTCAGAATTGGAAACTCATGAAGATGCCTGGCCTTTCTTACTTCCTGTAAACTTGAAACTTGTTCCTGGTTATAAGAAAGTTATTAAAAAACCTATGGACTTTTCCACCATTAGAGACAAGCTAAGTAGCGGACAGTAAGTAAGCCTATTGTAAATTTTACTTAACATTTTGAAAATATTTAAACATTGAAACACAGCACACTTTTTAAAATTAGTTAACTATTTTGATCTGCCTACACTGGCACCTCTGTGATTATGTTTACAGTCAAAATTCTTAATTGTATACTTTTTTCTTTGCCATATCTAAGTGAAATAGCATGTCAGGTGGGAGAACCTGTGGAACCGGCTGAAAAACAATAAAACTGCCGGGTCAAATGCACAAAATCAATCAACAGGAAAAACTTTTGTCCTCATCTGTTCTCACTGAGAACATCTTAGTATTGTTTCACGTAAGCAAGAACCATCTGTGTGGGCTTTAAGCTAATGGAGTCCCTGTAAATAGTGGTGTAGCTGTGGAGTGAATTGGTACCCCTGTTGTGGGAAGCCAGGTAACGTTCCAGTAATGGTGGTTAATCATTTTATAGTCCTAGAATTAGACTGCACAACTTCTTAGAAAAGAGAAAGACGCTATATGCCTCTGTTCCCTTTCCCTCCTTGTTACATCCCTGTGCTCTAAGGACTCCCCACCACCAAAGAAAATTTTGTCATCCGTAAAGATTGACCCTCTTCAGCATCCATCAGCTCCACACAAAGCAAGTTTCCTAGGGTAACACAAAGGACTTCTTAACCTCTTTGGGCTTCTTCTCCCTTGAATCCGAGATTTAAATGCTCCACACATGCTCATTGGTATCAGTAGTCTTGTAACTTTTACTGTCTTGTCTTTTTAATAACTCCTGTGAATACTGGAACACTACTCAGGCCATGTATGTTCAGGATAATAAAAAGAATAACAAAGGCAATGTTACAGTGATTGATCTGGGCAGCTTTTTTTTTGTTCCTGATTGCTCCTCTTTTAGGTAAATGCAGCTGTAGTCAACACTTACTTTGAAAGGACCTGAGCCCAAGAATAGATAAATAAATGGAAAATAGCCATAGCATTTTAATTAGAAAGCTGTTGAAGGGAAGGGGGAAGTTAATATAAAAAGAGTTTGTTTTCCAGTACCGGCTTGAAATTCTACCTTAGAGAGTTTTTGAGGAAAATAACAAATACCATGACAAGAGGGTATTTCCTCCCACTGATGTTCATTTTCTTGTTAATATTTAAATTAGAATTAAAAAACTAAAAGTATAATAACATGTAGAACATACATTGAATATTTTGTAGCTGGTTGTAAAATCACTGATGTTAAGGTAGTTCTTTCTCATGTAGTTGCTTCTCCCCTTTGATTCTCCATGTTCCAGAAATCATTCACCTTTTTCTTCTTTCAGGTACCCTAATCTTGAAGCATTTTCGCTAGATGTCAGGCTTGTTTTTGACAACTGTGAAACCTTTAATGAAGATGATTCTGACATAGGCAGGGCTGGCCACAACATGAGGAAGTACTTTGAAAAAAAATGGACAGAGATTTTCAAAGTGAGCTGAAGTTACCAGAACTCTTTGTTTCCTCTTTTTTTGTTCTTTTTCTTTTTTTCATTAAATGAGGACTGATAAGACCAGCAATGTGAACTGTATTTACATGAAAGTGCAAGGCACATGCATAACTAATGACTGTTTTTTTCCTTTAAAATATCACAGAGTTGTGATACTAGTTCTAAAGGCTTCACTCCTACAGCAACCATGGCCCCTTGGTTATTGGTTTGTGTGTTTTAACAAACTAATTTAGGTAGAACAGGGAAGCACACCCAAAGAATTTCAAAGAAAGGGGTGTTATAGTGCAATAGCAATTTAAAATATATCAAAACGCACTGAATATTCAACCACCAGAGCTCTACTTGGGGAAATGGTTCTCTTTTCCCTTTCAATAAATATCTATTTTTCATTTTTTTACTTTGTAGTTTATTTTTTAGTGAATGTATTTAATTTTATGAATTATTTATGATTATACAGCATTCAGAATCTTCGTTTTCTGTGAAAAGGAAGAATTAGAAAATTGCTTTAAATCTTGAAAATACAACAAGGAATGTTTTAAAATATAAAACAAAGCCAAGTAAAACTGTTTACACTGATGTGCTGTAAAAGCACTAAAAATTAAACTTTACTGTAGAGTTACAAGTACATTTATATATATGTTGCTGCATCACTTGTGTAGTTAAATTGTATTTCAAGACAGTGAAGAAAATTGAGACATGTACATACTGTTCATTATTGTTTATAGTAAGTCTTGTTTTAAATATGTATGATGTGTACATATTGTTTGCAGACATTATTGTTTATGCCTTAGGAGGACAGTAGCATTTTATTTTAGTCTTAAGGTAATTATAGCTATATGGCTTGTACAGTAATTATCCTCTACCAACACTGTGGAGTCTCCTTAATCTTGGTAGTGCCTGCCTTTAAAACAGGGTGTAGGGGATATTAGTTTTCCATTTTTCTATTTTGTTATATAATTTCAAGCCACCACGGCCTCAAATTCAAGTATAATCATTTGTATCCATGTGGAATAAAATTGTGACAATTTCCTACGCACACAGTATTTTTTCATAGAAACATTTCCCCCCATTTGCCTTGCCACAGAAATAACAAAAAAAAGACATTTGTAACCACTGTGTTTTATCTACTGTGTGTTGTGGTGGCCTGTTGGGGCAGATAGATCAGAATTTTTTTTGTACTAATGTTAGAGTACTTGAAGTTTTATTTAAAAGGAATGTTGTGGAAAGGTAGCATTCTTTTTCTTTTCCTTTTTTAGGAGTGTTATTTTTCACTAGTATGTGTGGCACGGATACAATAAAAGACTGTTTTGCAAACCAGACTTTCTTGGCGACTTTAATACTTCAGATCCTGTGTATACAGGAATTTTTTTAATAATATCTTGGGAGTCTTGCATTTAACATTCTAATTCTCCTGGCTTTTAAAGGTCGTTCAAAACGAAGCAATTGCCAAGCAGTCAAGAGTACAGTTCAGCTGCCTATTTGAATGAGCGTAAATAACATCTAGGTGTAACCATTGGGCTGCCTGGTATTTGACCAGTTTCTGCCAGTCCTGTTCACCATTGCTACAGTGTGAATGCACATGATAATGTAAATATATGCCACATACAATGTTTCTTGAAACCACTGTCCATGCAAGGTCTTGTCCTTTTTTTTGGTTTGTAGAAGGGCATGAGTCATAATCCTTGCTCTGAAGAAAATAGAGGAATTACAAATTAACATTGTGGAACCCCAGTACCTATAGCTCCCTCACCAAGTAATGCTTTGTGTTGGTTTTTTTTGGGGGGGTGGGTATGTGTGTGTGTGGTGTTGTTTTTTGCTTTTAAACTAGGCCTGCCATGTTTGAGTCTTAGAGCATTGTTTTATATACTCCCTTGCCATCATACTTCTTGTCTCTGCTGAGAAAAAAGTCAGTGCCTGGTTTTTAATAAAATTTTTGTTTCTGTTGCCCTCCCCAGAACATCCTGTTTTTCTTTTCTGAAGTCCTGTTAGATTAATTTGTGTTACCTAGAATAAAAAATTCACATTTGGGTGTCAGGCAGTCTTGCATTCTGACATTAGCTCCACCGCTGACTGCTTCACACCTTTCTTTTTCATCACCTTTCTGAGGACTTCAGTAAAAAGGTTTGCTGACGTGTTCCAGAGATGTGAAGATTAGTCAGTGTTTTGAACATATGGTGATAGGCTTGTACGAGTGTTCTAAGTATGCTTAGATTACTGGGAAAACTATTTCTTTGAGGCAAACAACTGGTTTTTTTCCTCAGATTCTGTACTGGTTAATGCTTTACCTGCCATACTAGATCCAACATTAGTTTTCTGAAAAGTCAGAACAACATTACCAGCTACACTATATACGTGGTTGCATTTTTTTTCAGCTTGTATCCTAATTCAGCTGAACAGCTGGGAAAGTTAAGACAGTAACAGCTGCTATAGCTGTGACAGTAAGACAAGCATCACCTCTCTTAACTTGACATTACTGATGTATTGCTTTGCTCACTAGCAGTCATTGTCTTCATCGCTATTTCAGTAAAATTAAATTTTCAGGAATTATTATATTTGAATGACAAGCTTGAATCATACACATGCCATCATGTATCTCCATCAAAAAGAGCAGGGATTTAACCACTAGAAAAATGTGCTTAACTTTTCTTCTTTGCTAACTTTCTCTCCTGTTGATGTTTGTGCCTGTCAGTTTTCTTAGAGAAAAAGTTTTCCAGTGTCCTCTCTTCCTTTCTCAATGAAGTATGCTGGTCTTAGTTTAGAGAATTTATTGACAAGCTTTCAAACTCTTTCTTTTAAAGTACCGTTAATAGTGCTTGATGAAGACTATTCTGGTTGTGAGTGTGTGTTCTCTTTTTGTCTCTTGGCATCTCTTTGAAAAAAAAGAACCCTGGATGATATAAAAGCAGCTGAAAATCAGAAGTTGTAGTTGTCTTGGACAAAATATGTCTTTTTTAAAAGAGGTCTACGGCTTTTTCTTTAATCTTTTTTTATGATTTCTTTAGCTTCCTAATGACAATTAGAAGGGTAGAGGTGCTCTGTTAACTGTGAATGGGCACAGATATCTGAAGAACAGTAATTTTAAATAATATGTTGAATGGGTGGCCTAGGGGACTTTGTTTATTAAACTTGTATCATTCCTAGATGTCTTAGATTTACCAAAACGTGCCTGCAAATTGAGGGATAAAGACTGAATCAGGAGCACCACAATTACGCTATTGGATTAGGTAACTTTTCGAACTACTTTGAGTATGAACTTAAAAGTTAACCAGGAATTTTTATAGCTGGTATGTACATTCAGAAAAATTAATGTGTTATCTTTTTATTACACAAATTTTTGTTGCTTGTGTTGTCCAAAGTAACTGTCATTACTAGAACTGATAGTAGCTAAATTTCTGGGCATGTATTGATTCACAGTGTCATATTTAGCAAGGAATTTTGAGTTGCCCTGTCTGTAAAATATTATGGAACAGTTTTTAGGTGTATTGGTGCGGTATTCACGATCCGTACAATTTAAGTGTGCGGTATTCACAATCAACTGTCTACCCTTCTCTTCAGTAAGGACAGTCTCAATTGATGCAAAGTTCTTGTGAGGCCATGAAGTGTTTTATTTGGTAACGTATGATCTTACGGATTGCTAGATCAGTGCAGCACATACTGGGTACTAGCCATCACCTAGCATTCAGAATAATTAATGGGCAGTCACCAGCCAGTGAATCAAAGAGCGTGCAACCAGATGACACACACTATAGAACAGACTGCAAGGTCATGGAGATTCAAACACGGAAGGTAGACTGTTTACGTAGAGGGCATGTTTCCTGGGCAAAGAGTGACTCCAAGAAAGTGACGTTGTTTTCCTCAAAAAATGTGTCATGATAAACCATTTATTTTGCAGGAGTTGCCAGGTATGTATCTGGGTGCGTAAAGGGCAGTGATGTAAGTTTCCTGACAGACGATGGGGTTGGGGGAGTTGTATTTGTTTGAAACCCCAGTGCCTTGCACGCTCGCTCACCAGTCCCCGGTTGCAGCAACAGCGGCCCGGGCAGCCGCGCGCCGCTGGCGGCCAGGGAGCGCCAGGGAACGGCGGTCACCATCTTCGTTCCACCGGCTGTGCCTGCCATCCTGCAGCCCTGGCAACT